TTTTTTTACTAACTATACCATCCCTTACACTCTCGACTACTTTCTCCTTCCGTCTTAATCCAGCTCTCCACATCCTCCTCCCCGTATTAGCATACTCTTCCCTGCTTACCATAACCTATTTTCATGCCTGAGGGTCCCATACTGTTTGCTGGAGGGGTACTCGGACCTCCTGGTGAGCCTTTGACTGATCGGTTGGTGCTGCTTTCATCTACAGCAAACCGGATTGGCGTCCCTGCTCCACGGCAGTACCATTACACCACCAAGGACCGATCAACCCACTGTCGTAGCGTTACGGGACACCCGTGGCCTGTAAACGCAAGAATCTGGACCACCTTACTGGCTCAAGCCGCAAGTCCTGTGAACTGTCCTGTCCTGTCCTGTCCTGAGGTGGTGATCATTGGCCGCTTAGGGAGGGAACCGATCTTCACCGAGCTAACGGCATTCATTTGAAACCGTTCCAAGGTCGCTAGCAGTCGCTTCGGACAACTCGCCAACATGGGTATGCGAGAAGAGAGACACTACGCCAAGGAACGAATCTACGAGATCCCGAGTTCTTTAAATGCAAACAACCATGCAACAGTAGAGGAATGTGGCACACCCAGTTGCCCCATGTGTCGTTTGAATCACGAGTTATCCTCATGTGAGAAATTTCTGCAACCAGGAATTCCGGAACGGTCGGAAGCAGTCAAGAGGCCTGGTGCGTGCTTTACCTGTTTGAGCAGCACACATCGTGCTGCCGCTTGTAGGAAGCAAAGCAGATGCAGCAAAAAGGGGTGTCAAGGAAGCCACCACTCTCTTGCACTCGATAACAGAAATTCAGTTACCGACACCCCAAAAACCATAGATACGTCTACTATCTCAGTCTACGGACAGGCAGGTACTGTGACGGTTTTCAAAAGATTTTGTACACAATACTTTTCTAATTCCAATATTTTCCTTTTCTTATCTCTTATCTCTCTTTTAGGAACTCAACAATTAACAGTTGTTTTAACCGGCCTCCTCATACCCCAGGATCAGTTGGGAGAAGCAAGATAGTTCGAGTGAAGAAACCAAGGTATACGAAGGACATTTTAGTCCACGTAGCACTGACAGCATTTGAGGGGAAATGCTCAAACAGGGTTCCTAAACCTTAACTGAAATAAAAATGGTGATTCTAATTTGGCTCTGAAGCATCAAAACAGATTCATCGAGGACAAGAGGTGCAGGGAGCAAGAGTAAAAATGGAAAAGGTAGAGACAACCTGGTTGAAGTTTGGAGGCATTTAGCAGGCAGGATACTAGACAGAGTAGTCGCAAATATGTGTCGACGTATGCCTATAATAGAAACAAAATTTCAACTGTCGGTCAACTGTTTTCCGACGTGCTGGAACTTTGGTCAATCGAAGTCGAGACATTGCGATTCGTATTTAACGCTGTTTGGATTCCCGTTACAGGTACGTCTCAGGGTAACATCAAGGGCATATTAACACCCAGTGGGGTGGTGAATGCGATGGCTTTCATTGACAATGGATCCGATACCACGTTGATCATCAAGCGCTCCNCCGCGGTTAAAAACAACATCACAACTCGACCACCTTCCCTGACGATCAGCATAGTGAACAGTACCAAGGCGACTTCCGCCGATCAAGCAAACATGACGTTGGTTTTGCTAGATAATGGTGAACGAGTAGAGGTCGTTGTATCAGATATGAGTCAATAAGTAGGCAAGTAGTAAATTAAGTAGTAATTATATTTCCAGTATGCAAACGCAAACGTAGCTGGTCCGTGAACCGGTGAGCAAGCAGTGCGTCAACACGCAGACATGCAGGCACAGAAACTGGCGCAAGTCTTACCAAAAGAGGTGTTGTCACGCTTGGCAGTCAACGAACCAATCAATGAGGAGAGATCAATAATGACCCCTGATTCGCTGAGGCGAATCGTCCTTGTAACAGATTAAGTCCGCATGACGTGCCTCAGTGCGTGTGGTGGCAGGCCGCAACGGTCAATCACGTGGTGCGCGGTAAACGTTTCGTTTGACCACCGGCCAAAACATCACTTCTCCTTTTCGTAAGAAATCTGTGACGCGCCTGGGGCCAAAAAAGCTGATTCATGATAAACGGAATCTCCCCACATGACCTGATGTCGCGACAATGCACTTGCCTGCGTAATGCGATCAGTCGAAGCGTGCAGACCTCGGGAAGTCATTCGGTAGTCATTTGAGGACTGACATGTTTCTGAAGCCAAAATGGTATTTAAACAGCGGTTCAGAGATGACATTTTTTCGCATATTGTTTTGCACCGAACGAGTACGAACGTATGGAATTGAACTGCTGTAGTAACGACCAAATCCTCTCCGGAAAAAGAACTTCACGAAATGTTTGAATCGCGTTCTTGGGTGTGCGCTGGATAGTAATCATCTTTTGTAAGGTTTTTTGCTGAAATGTCACGTCTGGCGTGTATGGATGTAATGATGTAATTATTGTCAATTTTCTTCATTCCATCGGGTTGAAGAGATATTTCATTCAAGCAATTAGGTTAAAACCTGCTTGTCGGTCCAACAGTACTTGTACTGTAGTTAGACGGATTCAAGGAAGGTCGAATAGTACAAACAGAGTGCAAGCGACAGACACGAGCAAAGTGGCCCAATTTGTTGCAGAAGAAACACATTGATGGCAATGCTTGACAGTTTGTAAAATCCGCTGTTTTTTTAACTCCACAGCGGAAACACGTACGATTGTTTGTGGTATTCCTGTCACGGTGGCACGCCGGTCTCCGGTACCATCATCAAGCTTGATGGTCTAACCGTGTAACCTAGATGAGACGGACGTTTGAACAATAAGTTAATAGCAACTATTCCATCAGCGTCTACAAAAAAATAACGCGAAGCGGGACTCAAAAGAAGTTATTCAAATGTTAATTGGAAGGATTCCGTTTCACATTTTTGCACAAAACGACAAGAAATCACTGCGCGATTGGCGGGCAGTGTGACGGTTTTCAAAAGATTTTGTACACAATACTTTTCTAATTTCATTATCTTCCTTTTTTATTTCTTCTTTCTCTTTTATTAACTCAACATTTAACAGTTGTTTTAACCGGCCTCCTCATTACCCGCTCGGTATCTTTGCGGTCTCGCTCCGTGATTTTCTCAATTGTTTGTCGTTCTGTAACTGGGGCATACACTGTCTTCGTAAGTCGCAAATATGTGTCGACGTATGCCTATAATAGAAACAAAATTTCAACTGTCGGTCAACTGTTTTCCGACGTGCTGGAACTTTGGTCAATCGAAGTCGAGACATTGCGATTCGTATTTTACGGTGTTTAGTTTGCCGTTACAGTTTGAAACCTTGGTTAACCTGCGTTTGGTGAGCTTTTTTACATTATTCTTCTTTGTTTTTAATATTTTGTTCCTAAATTGGATTTAATGTCGTGTCAACCTGGTCAATCAACCTCAGTCAGACTACCCGCCTCAGGAGAGTAAGCAGGTGAAGAAGCCGCCATCAATAAGGGCTCGAGTACTGCGCCATTCTTGGAGGAATCACAGTGCCGCACGAGTTCTGCAGTGAAAATACAGAAGTAAAACTACGGTTATTGAGGGATAGATACAGATTAGAATGTGAAGTAAAGGAAGCCGTCTTCCGACAATAACTGTGCGAGGCCGAGGCTAAGCTAGCTCTTGGAGAGATTGGGTGCAACAGCGATGCATAAGACGGAGCATCCAGGTGCTTCAAGTCAAGCTACAAGGAAAGAGAAGAAACCTATCTATGAGAGAGTGTGCCCGAAGTGAAGTTTAGTAGGGGCGTGGGGAGAAATACCTGCACCTAGGCATGACAGTCTTCACGGCTTAGAACTCCCGCGGCCAGAACTCATTTCTTTCGATGGAAACGCCACAGAATATTGGCGATTCTAACATCAGTTCGACGGCTTCTTTGCTAGACAAGGAAATAGAACCGTGCATGCTAATGTCAGAGGAAGATGGGTATCATACGGTCAGGGAGATACTCGATAAACTATTCCATCGACCGCACGAAGCAGTCAGGGCTGTAGTAAAGGACGTTCTAGCTAAAACAGCAGAATTGTGGGACACAGGCGAGGGCCTGAGCAGGCTTAGCATTAAATTGCGAAGCTACTACATGGTCCTAACGGAAATGGGGTGTTTATCAGAGTTGGGTTCCATACCCGCGCTGGAGTCATTAGTTACACGATTGCCCTGACGCTTACAACGTACGTGGGCCGAAGTGGTGGATAGGATCGTATCCAATGGCAGACGGTACCGGTTTATCGACTTCGCTGAAATGATAGAAGCAGAGTCGAGGATTCAGAACAGCTCTTTTGGAAAGCTAGTGGACACAGGGCGTTCACCAGACGCTAACAGACCCTGTGGCCTTTGGAGTAATACGCATATGAACGTCACCACAACTAGACAAACATCAGCATCATTACAGAACTTTCAGTGCCCTTTGTGTCGGAAACCACACCCTTTAACTAAATGTGAAGGTTTCCTGAAGTCGGATGTGCTGAAGAGACGGAAAATTGTGGAAAAAATTAAAGCTTTGTTATAAGTGTACTAAATATGGACACCTGGAGCGAGATGTGAAGAAAATGGTAAATGTTTGGTTGATGGTTGCACCGGCAAGCATCATAGCCTGGTTCACTTGTCGCGTAGGGATCAAGTGTCCGCGAATGTGCAAGCAATCATGGGGGATTCCTGTTCTGCACCGAATGATATTACTTACCTTGGAGTAGTCCCGGTAAAAATAATGCACGGCGACAAATCGTTGAAGGTATATGCCTTGCTGGAT